AGCAATTTTTCGATCGTCGCTTTGTACCACTAAGTACAAACGTACTTCATAAATCATTACAGCGAAGCAGCACCGACAGCGGAATTCATTTCCCTAAACCTAAAACCTAACCTCTTTCCTAACCAACGTTCCCGGACAGCGCGTCCTTAAATCAACCAGCGCGCAGCCGCTCTCTACCATAAAACCTTATTCACCTAGAAACGCGCACGAAAGATATTTCTTCGCAACGTATTCTTAAATCACTACCACCGACACTGATTCGAACCGCTGTCACGATTGATAAATATTCGACGGTCAAAGGCGGCGTCTTCGGTGATCGATTCGGAAGCGATTTTCAGCGATCCGTTACACGAACACGCGCCGGTAATCGTCGGTTTCCTGTGAACAGGCCAGCCAACCGTTCATTTAGACGTGCGTAGGACTGGCTGCGCGCGCATACGTGCCCACGCGATTCCAGAACGTTGCACCTGGGTGGAACGAGACCGCGAGATATAAAAACGGCTTACGTCCGACGCTGGACACATTCTCGGCGGAATTTATCGGCGGCCTCGCGTGATTAGCGAATAATTAAGCCGGGAGCGTGGAAGATGATAAACGACGGGATAGTGGAATATCCGCGCGCCTTATCCGTTTTCAAGGGAGTCTCGGAGCGTGAAAGACACGCTCGAACGGATTCGTGGAAAATTCGTCTTCGCGCACGTGGAGGGTGGATAATTAATCCCTTGACTACGGCAGATTTTGATACGTAGTGGCCGTACCATACGACAGGAATTGAGTTACGATGTGCGCCATTTTTGTGAAAACAAGCGCCCTCCGTGTCAGAAAGCCAAACTACGTCGAACGTCTATAGACAACCTTTGTGTTACAAACGCAAAATTCCTAAGCGCCCATAGGCACCCACAGTAGTCAAGGGGTTAAATAATTTATTGACACTAGGTTTACGAACATTTCTTGTGGACCCATATCTATCGACAGACGTCAATTTAAGGGATGAACTAATTGTAAGTCAGATATTTTCTTAAAAAACGACTTAAACATCAACATAATTATACACTATTGACATATAAATACTGAAACTACGGGATGTATATTTATATAAAATTTGTAATATTTGTAAAGACTATTTTTATTTAAATGTATACAATTTTAATAAATGTAAGAATGACGCGTACTGTGAAGTTAGTGTTAATTATGATTGGCGGAATGAAGGATGTGATATAGGCTTGGACCCTACGAGACTCTGTTCTGGGGATATCTGGGAATCTAAGCCTAACCTAACCTAGCCCAAACCTAGTGTTAATTTTGATTGTCAGAATGAACGATGTGATATAAGCTTGGACTCTATGAGACTCTGTTTTAGGACATCTGAGAATACTCATTTAGGTTTCCCTTTTCTGGAATAGGTTTTCCAGGACCCTAGGGTTCGTCAGACTAGTCCCAGAACCGGGGTGAACAATTAAACCACATCCGTTTAGTCATAAGTATATATATATACTTATATATATATATATTTATATTGTTTTTACCTGATGCTATTACTGCTCACGCTATTCCAATACTATATTTAAGTAACGAGCATTCTTGAATAATGCATACGAAACATACAAGGTGTTGTTATTAACAATAATTTATTTCATGTTAACCCTGCTGAGGGTTTTTATGCTTTTCGTATCAGATGTTTCTCTTTTAATTAATGGATGCTTGTTATTATGTGAACGTTTCTCGTTTTACGTATCGTTTATCAGAGTTCAAGACTGTAAAACGGAGCATGCACGCTTGGTAATTAGAAAGTAGTGTATCGTTCGCATAGTTTCAATTTTGAGTTCTCTTTTTTCCTATTCTTTTGTGACATTAGAATGGATTCCAAATTTTTGTATTTCTTACTGGTTTCCATGAAGCTCTGTTTCCACCATACAGCGTAAATTTTTTGAAGCAATATTTAGAATTCTATACTCGTTAAATAAAACGTTTACTATTTCTTGAGTAGAAATACTAATAGAAATTCTCGTGATTTATTAGATCTTCAGTTACGACTGCCTGTATGCCAGGTATTAAATTTCGTACATGAAAGTAGCGTCTACTACAGGTAATTCTAACACTGACTTTCTTTTTGGGATTAGAATGGACTATAAATTCCAGTTTCTTTTTAATTTCAATAAATTTCTTTTGCTATTATAAATTCCAGATACTCCGATAAAATATTCGAGACGTCTATCATTTATCAAGTACCAATACCAAAAATAAGTCCTTCTGATAGCATTTTCCAACTTCATTCAGCAATTTGAAAAGAAAAACATAGAAATATTTGATTCCTTTAATGTAACCTTAATTTTCCAAATAGAAAATGCTTCTTTAACCCTAATTCTATGAAATTCCTGAAAATATGCGGATAATGCAAATGTATTTTTCACAAATTACAAATTAATAGTAGATCATATCCACATCGTAAGCCTAATTATGTCTACCTATTCAGACTTTCGTCACACGCCCTTGATAATTAGCATATCCGTGTAATGCGTTCCGCACACACATTTACAGGATGCTAATTCCAGCGTTAAGGACATCGTGCTAGAAAATAAAATTAGCAACCCTCGATGCGATCTCCGAGACTACAAACTACACAGTATGGCGCTAACGGAGTGCGACCGTCATTAAAACAGCGATTACGGTGATCCGGGTTTATCGTCTAACACGTACGTCGCACTATTAATCAGTTTTCCTTCATTAGAAACGAATAGACCATTTGCTGATACGAACGCGCGGTCCATTAATTAATAGTCTCGATTTGCACTAGGAGCGCAGGGCAGGGTCGTAAAGTGCGATTATCATCGCGCAGCGAGCTGGTGTGCTGAACTATTACCATTGGCTCAGGCCAAGTCCTTTTTGTGCTCGTCGATCGCCAAGTCCTTGGAGATCGTTCGTGGAACAGCAAAATGTATAGGGCTAGCGAATCGTAATTAAGTCTCCGAATGTTATTGCGCTGATATAAATCTGCGATAGCGTGGGTTTCCGATTTCGCAATCGGGAGGAATGGATTCGCGGAAGCTAAATGGAACGGGTAAATAAGAAGTAGCTCCGAGTTGAGGAAGATCAGTAAAGTGGATTTAATCAGAGATCGCGGCTTTTGAGAAACGTAAAGCGGTTACACAACGGTGCAACGAAGTGATGAAAAATAACCAGATCACGTCTAGACGGTAAATATGATGTAAGAAAATATTTTGTTTGGCCAGTGGTGTTGTTACTTTTGAACGAAAGAATGTCGTTTTCTATGATAACGATAAGTTAATTAACTAATGCTCACTCGGCTTTTTCTTTTTAATTATCGTACTCGATTTATGCTTTATGTGTGTGTTAATCATCCGAGATAAGCCTAGTAATCATTTCTCTTTTTTAAAGAGAATAGACATTTGCTTTTCATACAGAATGTAACGTGGAAACTTCCTGCTGTCAAGCTGAGATATTAATATAATACTACGACGACCTTTGAGATATCTCGAAGACAGAAAAATTATGATCGAAGTTCACACCGAAGGTTTAAGCCACGACACCTTGGTAATTGTGGAAACAGATATTTAAACAAGGTCGACTTGTTTACTTCCACTCCTTTTCCTTTATTCTGTCAATTAAGCGGATCAAACGCCGCATATGGCGAAAACATCGATACTGCGTTAATCTAACAAAAGAATCTTAGTAAATGTTCTTCCTAAGTGTTCTCATTATAGATGGAAAGGAAATGAATCTTCGTTTGGAATAATTTTCGTTCAAAAAACGTCCAAAATGCAATTATGTTTTGTACGATAGGAAGAAAATTGGAGAACAAAAAGCATGATAAGCAAACGAGTAATTTTTGTTGATTTCCTGACTTAAATACCACTTGGAAGCTATAGAGATATGACATAATTTGAAAGAAGAATATCTTGTTGAGGTAAGTTCGAAGATACGAGTTTTTTAAAAACAGATGATAAATCCGCGAAGTTTTATTTTCATTCTTTAACAATAGGTATTCTCGAAATACCCAAGAAACTGCCAAAGAGAAACAGAAGGACACTCTTCAATCTAAATGTAGAATAAATAGAGGATTTATATTTCAATTCGTTTCTTCCCTCTAAATATCAAATAGGCACCCTATGTATAGAATTAAAAGATTTGTCCTGCAAAATTATTTATTTTAATTACTTGGATTTGACAATCAATATCCTCGGAATATCTAAGAAATTGTCAAAAAGAAACGTGGATATATTGAACAAATATAGAATTTATATTTCAATTCTTTGACAATTGATATTCACAAAACATAAAGAACTGTCAAAAAAGAAGCATCGGATCTAAAAGGAAATAGGAAAACCACTCTTCTCTGTCTCTAAATGTCACACAGACACCTTTCAGACACGTAAAAATAATTTATTTTAATTTCCTAATAATCGATATCCTCAGGCTACCCAAGAATCTGTCATAGAAAAACAGAGGGACACTTTTTCGTGTAAATGTCGAATAAATAAAGAATTTGTGTTTTAATTCCTTGACAATGGATATCCTCACGATACCCAAGAAACTGTCAAAGAGATATAAGGGTCATCTTTCCATCTAAATATCAAACAGACACCCTTCAGATACGCTAAAATTATTTATTTTAATTCCCTAATAATCAATATCCTCAGGCTACCCAAGAAACTGTCATAGAAAAACAGAGAGACACTCTCCCATCTAAATATCGAATAAATAAAGAATCTGTATTTTAATTTCCTGACAATGGATATCCTCACGATACCCAAGAAACTGTCAAGAGATACAGGGCTCACTTTTCCATCCAAATATCAAACAGACGTCAAAATTATATATATTAATTTCCTAACAATCGCTATTCTTTATGCATCTAAGAAATTGACACAAAGAAACATCTAACCAGATTACATCTAAGACCAATCAGTGTAACATCCTACCCTAAACACCTAATAGACAGATAACACATGGAGCGAATAAATCGTCCCGTAATGACTTACCACTCGATTCTGCATCGTTGACCACCCAGAAAATGGCAAGACACCTCCATTTCCCGAATCCAACATCGTCAACGAGGAAACGCTAGGCGAGCGCGTCAAGACCGGACTGACCCGCGTGGATTCGCGATTATCACTACCGACAATTACCATATTCATCCCTGCTAATTTTCACCGACGAATCATAGAACTTCACACTGTGGCATGACGATCGCAACCGATAAGAACATCAGCGTAAATCAATCCGGCTTGGAAAGCAATTACGGGCGCGACTCTAAGAAGCAAGCAGGGACTCGATCGCGGATTACCTGTGTCGAATCGAGTCGAATCGAGCCGTATCGAGCAATCGATGGCACACGCGTGCCACACGGTGTCTCGCACGATTGTTCTCCGTGTCCTCGCACAGTCCACGGATCCCACAATCGGCTATTGTAAGAGCAGCGTTTCGTTTCCGACCGATTATTCACCGGCACAGTCTAAATCGTGACTACTTGACCCGCGTCTAGGGCAGCCTCGCAATTCATCGTGACAGATTTATCGTCGTCACTCCTACAAGAAGGCCAGCCAATCAACGCCGAGATCCTGCTCTAATTGATTAGCAACAAATTACGTGTGGGGCGACGATATATATTTACGCGTGGGCCACTCCGCTCAGAAAATACTCTCCCTTCACCGTTTCGCATTACCTGACCGAGTGCTTCGCCTTTGCGCCTCGTCCTCTACGCAGTCGATATTTCCAGGTGTTTTCAGAGGTAGCAGGAAATAGAATCGCTGGCTGTTACGTGACTGAGACAGTTTCGGAGACGTTCTGCGCACAATTTCTCCGCTTTCGGCGAACAATGGAGATATGTACACGCCGCGGGCAGACGCGAGACTGTGTTGGCTTACTACGGTCATGGCGTGTTTTGGTTCCGTCGTCACGCTGTTCAACGCTCGACTTACTATGGCTTGGATGACCATTTTCAAAACACACCTTCAAAATTCCGCGTTCGAGGTTATTGGCTCGTGTAGTCAATAAGTCTTCGAGATTTTTCTTTCGATATTTAGCCTTTGTTCTGGTTTCCTTGTATCGTCGTTCAACTTGGGAGGGTCTAGATGATCGATTTGAAAACTTTTCTTTGCGATTTTTTTTTTTTTCAATATATGTGCAATCTATGTCTTTCTATTTTTTTTTTAAAGATTATACCGATTCTTCGTTCTCCGGTCGTTTGACCGTGATAGGTTTAGAGTTAACCGGGTTGTGTTTTAAACGGGATTATTCGTAGGTGGTGTTGATTGAGAGGTTAAATAAAAATTATTTTTAAATATTATGGGATTTTTTATACATGGGATTATTTTTAAAACGAGATCGTTTATGTATGCTGTGAATCATAATTAAGAGTGGAATAAAAATTTCAGGAATTTTAGAAAGGTGTAGAAAAATTTGGCAATTAAATTGTGGAAATTTGGACGAGATTATTTATATATTCTGTTAATCGGAATTAACAGTAGAATATTTTCTAAAAATTTTAGGAAGGTACCTGGAAGATTTTGGAATTGAATTGTAGAAATTAAGATTTTTTTAATGAGATTATTTACAAAACGAGATCGTTTGTGAACGATGCTAATTAAAATAGTATTTTTGGAGTGATTTAGTTTTGGAATAGAGGGAATGAAAACGTAGGAATTTTGTAGTATCTTTTAATAGTTTTTTGACGTTTGTTATATTTGATAAGGATAGAGTTCAATTACGAAATTGAAGTGTACAAATGTACGTATGGTGGAATATCGACTGAAAGCATAGATTTTATTGGATGGAGTACGAGTTTACATAGAGTATCGTAGAAAATAGCGGAGGTGGCGGAGATTTATGGGAGACGCCTCGAGGGATTGTTAAGAGGATTTCAAAGTAAAGGTATTGTTTAAATTTTGCAACTGTTGACAGTCACGACTAGTAAACATATAATGTACAGCGTGTCTGGAAAACATTTTAGAAAGTTGCATGCTCGCGCTATTTTTACGCTTCAACCGGAATAGATGAGGCAACCGAGAATTCATGAGACATAAATCAATTACATCTTCAATGGAAGGTTGGGTTACTTCGCTACAAATAGACCATCTTTTATGGCTCGCGTTGAATTGATTCTGTTAAAAATGTTTATTAACGGGGAATCGATTTCTTTCTTGCTTTCCCATTTACAGCTTCCCATGATCCGAAATTGCCAAGTTATAACAGCTATCACAAGTATTTCATTCGTCGGAGAACAATTTTTATTTAGTAAGTATGGAAATTTGAGAATTAGGGAATTTCGAAATTTTAAAATTTCGGAATTTGAAAATTTGAATGTGGAAGAATTTAGAAATTTGGAAATTTGGGAACTTGGGGATTTAAAAATTTGAGAATTGAATGTTCGAGAATTTGGGAATTTGGGAATTTAGGTATTTAGGTATTTAGGAATTTGGAAATTTGGGAATTTAGGAATTTAGGAATTTAGGAACTTAGGAATTTAGGAATTTAGGACTTAAGGACTTTAGGAATCTAGAAATATAGAAATCTAGGAATCTAGGAATTTAAGAATTTAGAGACTTAGGAATTTAGGAATTTAAGGACTTAGAAATTTAGGAATTTAGGAATATAGGAATATAGGAATTTAAGGACTTAGAAATTTAGGAATTTAGGAATTTGGGAATTTAATAGCGCGAGAGTTCGAGCATTTGGGAATTTAAAAATTTGAGAATTTGGAACTTTGAAAGTTCGAGAATCTGAAAATTTAGAAATTTAAGGATTTAAAAATTTGAGAATTTGGAAATTGAGAGTTCGAGAATTTGAGAATTTAGGAACTTAAGGATTCCAAAATTAAAAAATTTGGAAATTTGAGGATTTAAGAACTCCAGAGTCCGATAATTAAAAAATTTAGGAATCTAGGAAAACTTAATTATCCTACTAAAACTTACTTTACTCGAAACACTGTAATATCAAAGTATCTAAGCTTCTTGCCAAGCTCCCGTTAGAAATTAACATACGTCCATTTAGAGTTGCTAAATTTTCTTCGCGCCGTTCGCAACATACAAGCCATCCACTGTTAACAGATTACTATCCGAATTATTACCAAAGTTATTAATCTGAAACGAACGATCTACATCTTTATAACGCGACAAAATAAAATTCATAAAACAATGTAATACTTATGATCTTACCGATGTTTGTATAACACTTAATACTCTCTGAGCCCCCTTATCATCCTTAATAATCTCCAAAGATTAACGAACAGATAAAATACAAAGAAACTGCAAAGTGGTAATAACGAGTGGCGAACAAAAATGGCTTAAGCACAACACGTGGTGAATAAAGAACATACTCCGAGCGAAATAAGACTCTTAAACATTCTTATTTCCCTGCAAAAATATATTTATTCCGTCATTTATCATCCGTGTCAAATATGAACCGCTAAAAATTCATACTTTCACCATCCCGCGACATAATCCACCATTCGATACATTCGGTCATTCGATCGCGAATGATATCGACATACCGATTTCCCTTTCCATACGAATCGTAAATGAACGAAGTGGAAAAAGAAAAACGGGAAAAGAAAGAAAAAAATTCGCGGTGAAAATGTTCGTATTGTTCGTACGAACGCTCCGTCCATGAAGTTACTTAATCAACTGTCGATCGAAAACTAATTGCACGACACGCCGATAAACTGCAACTTAGGTTATCGCACCACGACCACGCCATTATTTTTTCACCTCGAGAAACATTCCATCGACGATGCATCACCGATCGGCCGAGTCAACAACCTTTCTTTTATCTCCTTACGTACCGATTGTTCGCCATTAGCCGGTCTCGAGTTATCTGCCTAAACCAAGTACAACGAATCATTTCTCCATTTTTTTCCTTCCTTTTTTTCTTTCTCTTTTACGTTCTCTTAATCTCGATCCACGTCACTTGAAACTGGCTTTAAGTCGGGCTTCGACGTCTCGTCCAAGTCCGCTTTTATATCGGAGCTCTTGTTTGTTAGAAAAATTTTATTATTTTCGGGGAGATTAATATTTTGATATTTTGGCGAATAAAAGGTTTGGGATTGGATCGGTGGTTAATTTGGGGGAGAAGATGGAGAAGGAAGGGTACTTCTTGCGCTGTATTTTGAAATTTTGAAATTTTGAAATTTTAAAAGCTGTTCCTAGGTGATGATTGTTCGAGTCAATTTTAATTTACTGGAGATTAAGAATTTTTATATTTTGGAGGGAATAAAGGAGATTCGAATATTGGTTATCTACTATTTCCCGCATTGTAGTTTTAAAATTTGAAATGTATAATTAGATGGTAACTTGAAAAGAGTTTTAATTAATTCGCATTTTCTTATTTAGCGACAGATAAAGAGATATTGGGATTGTGATCGTTGATATTCTTGAGTGATATTTTTAAAAATTGAGATTCATCGTGAATTTTTATATTTTGGAGGGAATAAAGGAAATTCGAATTTTAGTTATCAATTATTTTTCACGTTGTAGTTTTAAAATTTGGGATGCATCGATAGATGCTAATTTAAAAAGAATTTTAATTAATTCGCATTTCTATATTTTAAAACAGATAAGAAGATATTCGAATTTTGATCGTTGATGTTTTAGCGCGATATTCGAGATTCATCGTTAAATGATCGTTTGAGGGAGATTCGATCTCGTACAGAAATCTTGATCAGACGTCTCGAATTTTCTATTGGAGACACGATAAGAAGATAAACGAAGGAATTCCTGGATAATTAATTTATCAGTCCTAGAAACACGAGTTTCGATTTCTAATTACTCGAAGAGATATCCCCGTGTCGCCCGCGATTTAAAATGATCGATTTAAGGTAGAATTTCACGTAGGAATGCTTATCGATCGAGACGTCCGTTCGATACACTGATACATGCGAAATTAAGTAAAAGCGTAGATGAACATCCAATTACCCTTCTCCAAGTCGCAATAATTCTATCTTGCGTCATATCAGGGAGATCAGATAAGGGTTGTCGTGACTCAAGTCACAAGTTTCTATAGCGTTAAACGTCTATCTCTCTAAAGGTATTATAGCATATCTCTCAAGATTACCGAATGATTTAAGATTTCGTAGCTTTTTGCGACTGAAAAAACTTAATCGATCGCTTCCAAGCAATTGCTAAATTGCGTTTCTAAAATGGCAAAGCGTTTAAATCCAAATGAATCTAAATGAATCCAAACGAATTTAAACGAAACCTGTTCCACGTTTGCAAATTATTCCTAATTAAAAACTTTGCAGTAAAAATAGTGAAATTTTGGAATAAGGGTAGCACGAAATTTTGGAGTAAATGTAGTGAAATTTTGGAATAAGGGTAGCACGAAATTTTGGAGTAAATATAGTGAAATCTTGGAACAAAAGTAGCGCGAAATTTTGAGATAAAGATCGCGAAATTTTGGGGTAAAGATAGTGAAATTTTGGAATAAAAGTAGCGCGGTATTTCGGAGTAAAAATAGTGAAATTTTGGAATA